ACTTTATATTTTATTAATATATTTATTTTATCAATATAGGGTGATTTAAAAACAAACACTCAGAGTGAAGGCCCCAACGCCGTCACGTGGGGAGTTTTTCCGGGTAAAGAGATAATTCAGCCAACCATCGTTGAAGCTGTAAGCTTTATGGCTTGGAAGGTATTTACTCTTAATTTTTTTTTTTTTTGATTACTTCTTGAAATTTTTAAAATAATTCTTTTCATTTATGAAAACGTTAGGATGAAGCTTTCGAACTCTGGAATGAATGGGCAAAAATTTATGATCCAGACTCAGTATCTGCAAAGTTGATTACTCAAATTGCTGATAATTGGTATTTGATTAACATTGTACATAATGATTTTCATGATGGTAGTGGCATTTTTCGCATTTTTGAACCGGACGGTGTTCCAGAATTAGTGGAGGCTGATCGTTGAAAATTTACGTGCATACTGATAGAGTATGGATCCGGATATCAGTTTTTTTTTTTTTTTAATATATATATTTTTTTAATAATACAATAAACATAATGGATACATTTAGACATGCAGTATCCCGATCCAAACTCTATTTGGATACTTGTTTGTGAAATCTACTGATAGTCTTGAACAATGGTTTTAGATATGGTTTTAGATAATCGATTGCATTTCATTTAAGACAAAATTGGTTTATTTATTTGTTTCACTAACATTAACGCTAACGCTAAAGCTAATAAATTAATGCGTTTAGGCCTTTTACAGGGCGATCCCCGAGATGCCGGGTCCGTATCCTAATTAGCACCCATTTATCCCCCGTGTTACAAATCAAAAAGGGATAAACATTAATTGGTTCATTTGCATTTATTATGTGTAATGTTATGTAAATTGTAGGAATTCGGTTTGATCGACTATTAATTTTAAATTAACAAAATATCGTTACGTAGGGCAGTGGCAAAATATATATCTTGAGTACGCAACGGTTTGTGGTTACGTGATGATGATTATACGAACTTCTTAAGGATGTAGCCAAAACTGTTTGGGCGACCCAAACTATGCGACAATTAGTATTACACAAGTTTGACAATAACAATAAAGCAGTAAATTAACAAAATTACAAAATGTGATACTAATTATTATATAGTTCGGTCCGGTTTGGGCTACACCTCTAAAACTCATACAGTATATACTTTCTAGTCAAATTTGATTATATACATATAAACAATTTTAAAGTTTTGTTGAAAGATAAACCAGGTTTTTTAAATTTTAGATAGTTTTCTTGGTAATTATTTAATTAATTCGTGATCTATGAGGGAACCAGTGAAAAAACATAGTAAACCTTGGGGAAATTTACTATTGTTTTTTGGAATCTGGAGTTTTCCCAAAGACAAATCGATTTCTTACTAAGTAAACTTGTTTTCAACTTCTAACAAAAGTTGTAGAGAAGAGAATTTCAAGCATAATGGTGGTTTAAACATTAAAATCAGCCCAGTAGATCATGAGATATGGACGTTTTTGTCTTCGCGACTATACTTCTTTGTTTAGATAAAGTAAACATATAATCGCGAAGACAAAAACGTCCATATCTCATGATTCACAGGACCGATTTTAACAGTTTAACTACCATTTTGATCGAAATTCTCTTCTCTACGACTTTTGTTAGAAGTTGAAAAGAGGTTCGTTTAGTAAGAAATCGATTTATCTTTAGGGAAACTCCAGATTTCAAAAAAGACAAAATTTATATAGTAATATATTCCTCATAGATCATGAATTAAATATAATAAAAATTTTTTATTTCAATTTTATATTGTAAAATTAAAATAAAAAATTTTTATTAGGTTGTTAATAAAATTTAATATTTTTATTTGGAACTAATAATTATATATTGAGGTTTTGTATATTGAGGTTTTGAAATAGAATTTAAAATAGAATTAATTAGAGAGTTGTAAATTAGAGCAATGGTATAGTATAGATATATATATTATTTTGAAGTCATATATATAATTTTTAATCTTTAGTTTATTTTATTTATTTTTTTTTAGCATGTTTTGCTACTGTTTTATTAAGATACAAATTAAGCAAAAATTACAAAAATTTTTAACTAAAGTTATTTTCTATTAACAACAACAAGTGACTCACTTGATTTTAAAAGCCCAGGTGTGATATTGTCTAGTGGCTGATTTGCTTTTCTTTGAGTTTTTAACTTCTTAAAGATATAAATCTTTTATTTATTAACTGGTATTACATATCATATCAGTATTATTTTTTCTTTTATAAGAATAAAATACAAACTTAAATTCAAAAATAAAAAAAAAAAGAAAAGATATTTTGATGTCTAAATTCGATCTATCTAATTAAATAAAACCAAAAAACATATAAAAAAAAAAGAAACAAAAATAGCATTATTAAACTTGTGTTAAATTATAAAAATTATATAGTATTATTAAATAATCTAGTTAAGTCTTATACTAATTATTTATATTTATATCTAAGATATTAAAAAGAGAAAAAAATTATCTGTTTTTAAGTAAAGATTCAAGCAAAATTTTTATTCTGTTTTCTCATCAAAATTTCTACAATGCTACTTAAATATAATTTTTTACAAGTATATTTTTTAGTTTAAAGTAAATATGTATATATGTATATATATTTCTTTTTTAGTAGTGATTACTGTATTGGTATTGATCTTTTGATAGAAGTATATTAAATTTTTTACTTTTTATTAAATTTTTAAAAAATACAGTAAGTAAGGTAGTAAGAAAAAGCTTGGTTTGCAGGTAGTCTTAAACTTTGATAGAGAGTGTATTAAAAACTTGCTTGTTGTTTTTCTTTTTTTAAATTAACTACTTTTATTTCATCTACAGAAGTTATATTTTTATTAAAAGTTTTTGTACAAAGGTGTCACCTTTTTGCTAGTTATCTTGTACAAAAATATTTTTAACTTGCTTGCTGAATATACAGAGGAGTCTGATAAAAAAGCAAAAGTATCTTAATCTCTGTAAAAACTATTACTTATAGCTGTCTCTTCTATCTTTTCTAACAAGTTTTTGTTTTTGTTAGTTATAAGTTTGGTTCGAAAAATTATTGAGAAGAGTTTATATACTGATTGTTTATTTTATATTTTTTTTTTTGGCATGTCCTGCCACTGTTTTATTAGGATATTAACTAAGCAAAAATTACAAGAATTCTTAACTAGTTATTTCTTTAAC